TTGCTGAGTACAATCGAGTACTCAGGGTTTTATTCCCCCTGTTGTAGGTGACCGACGGATGGTAGACGACTTTTGTGTGTGGAAACCTCCTGGTGGGCTCAGAGAGGATTCCTTTCACGCTACGGTCGTAGTGTTGTTTATAACCCTCACTAAATGTTTTATAAGAAAAGATGTAAAAACTACCAGCTTATCTTGTATGTAGATGGTTACTTGTTTAATACTTCACACATCATTAAATAACTTTCTTTTCTGCTAAAACTCTGGTCACATGTGTAATTCCGTTATTGTATTAAATAATGTAAGAAATGGCTAAAGATGTTGTAAGCTTTATACTCTCATTTATGATTCTATGGAAAAATATGGATTTTCGAGTTCTTCCTTGGGGTGTGCTCGACAGAACTGCGTAGTTTAGTGTCCTCGCTTAGGTACTCAATGTCTAATGGAAGACAAGTACCCTTGAGAGGGCATTAGATTAGGCGGTTCTGTCACAACCTTGAATGACTTTGGAATCAAGTTCAAGAAAGTATCATTGCTATGTGACAATGAGAGTGCTATCAAGTTTACCAATAATCCGGTTCAACATGCAAGAACAAAGCACATTGATATCCGCCATCATTTTATTAGAGATCATCAACAAAAGGGGACATTTCAATTGAGAGTGTGGGCACCGAAGATCAACTTGCCGACATATTCACCAAGCCACTAGATGAGAAGAGGTTTTGCAAGGTAAGGAATGAGTTGAACATATTAGATTTCTCAAATATGTGTTGATACACCCCCCACTCATAGGACATGCCTCACCTTCGAGCAACCAAGGTAAAAGTTGATTGGCATGCATACATTCTTTGCTAAGGACTTATTTAGTGCATCTAGTCACTCCTTACATTCAATAGGCTCATTCATGAAAATTAAATGAATTTGATACTTGTATGGTACCACTATTGCTTCTATGCTTGACTTGATCTCGTGGTAGCATATGACATGTCTGTGTGCTTGTGAACCTAGTGTTTGATCTAGAAAATGAGCTATAAGTGTTTAACTCAACATGGTCAAGATAACCCTTGAAATGAGGTGTGAAAAAGCTTGCCCTTGGATCAAACTGAGTTAAATATCTTTGACAAGTGTTCTAGATTGAACCAAATTTGGGAAAATGATCCTCACCCCATTGATTGACATGATAATCTTAAACTATCTAAAATTAAACCTTTGTGGTCATTGATGAAAATGTGGGAGAAATTAGTGCACAAAGATAGTGAAAAATGACAAAGGGGGAGAACTTTGACATAGGGGGAGAAATATAAAAGAAAGGGGATCAATTAAAATTTAAGCACACAAGTAGGGGGAGCAAGCTCATAAACTTGTATGATGCATTTAAATATGCATTCACATATGCTTGCTTGCATTTGAAAAGTTTAAATTCAATATACATGCTTGTGTGGTGTATGCTAGTTGTTCTAGAGCCTTGCTTATAATGTTGATCTCATGAGGTATCTAGTTCTTTTCTTTGCAAGTGTTATCTAACTAACTATGGTGCTAAGGATGGTATTATTGGTGTACTCCGATTGGTATCACGCTTCAAAGGTCCATCTGTTACACCTTAACATCATTTGATAGACATTACTCTCCCACATTTTCAATCTATGTATATATGCAAGGTTCAATCCAAACTCTTAGCACATATGTAGGGAGAGCTAATGCTATCAATTCGGGTTCATGAAACTTATCCATATCCTTTAGACATGGTAAAAAGCTTGGGCAAGCAACATAGATTCAAAATTGATTTCAATTCATATCTTTGTGAAAGAGTTGTCATCAATTACCTAAAAGGGAAAGATTAAAAGCTATAGTTTGGTTTTGGTGAATTGATGAAACCCTAGATGCTAACCCTTTTGCTCTAAGTGATCATGAGATAGGGTAGCACATTCCAAGTGGTGGAGCAAATGGTGATGATCATGAAGGTAGCGATGGCCATGGTGATCAAGTGCCGGGTTTGGAAAAGAAGAAAGAGAAAAACAAAAAGTTCAAGGCAAAGGTGATATCCATAGGAGCTTTTGTGTTCTGGTGATCAAGACACCTAGTGGGTGTGATCACATTTATGATAGATAGCCGTACTATTAAGAGGGGTGAAACTCATCGTGAAATGCGGTTATCAAAGTGCCACTAGATGTTCTAACTCATTGCATATGCATTTAGATTCTAGTGAGGCTAACACCCTTGAAAATGTTTGTAAAAATATGCTAACACACATGCATAAGGTGATACACTTGGTGGTTAGCACATCTGAGCAAGGGTGGAGAAGTTGGTGAAGTGGAGGCACTATTTTTCAGTGACCGGACGCTGCTCTCGCAGTGATCGGACTCTGGGCCTGTGTCCGGTCAGTAGAAGCCGTGGTAGCATGGCTTAGGGTGTTGCACCGGACGCTGAAGGAAAAAGTGATTGGACGCGCAGGGCCTACGCCCGATCAGGTGGTGATGTACATTGACGCAAGCGTTTTCGCGTGGAAGAAAGGAGCGGATGCTTGGGGCGCATCCGGTCGACATTGACCTGACGCGTCCGGTCTAAAAAAGACACTTGGGAACCTTATTGGAAATGATCTGACTCCGAGGTGGTGCAGCATCAAGTGGGACTCCGGTGCGTCTGATCTGGCGCGGCGTTGGCGCGCGTGCACGTGATCTAACGCGGATCGACGCGATCTAGTCTTCGGGACAACGCGTCCGGTCACTACTTAACGCATGAAGGAGGGCTGCCAATCGTTGGGATCGTGCGGCTGAGGTTAAACGCAGAGGACACGTGGTCGTATCGCAGCGATCGAACGCTGGCTGGGCTGCGTCCGGACAGGCTGACCGCGTGCGTCCGGTCAATGCGCAGTGGTGCCCCCTTTTAGCATAACGGCTCTATTTCGATGGGGTGCCTATATAAGGTGTTTGGCCGGCTCTAGCTCACTCTCTTGGCTATTTTCATTGACATAGCAACCTAGTGAGTTGAGCCAAAGCCCTCCCACTCATCTCCATCATTGATTCATCATCTTTGTGAGGTTGAGAGTGAATCCAAGTGCATTGCTTGAGTGATTACATCTAGAGGCACTTGATGATTGTGTTTCACTGTGGGATTTGCTTGTTTCTCTTGGTGGTTGCCGCCACCTAGACGGCTTGGTGTAGCGAGGATCGTCGAACGAAGAAAGGTGATTGTCTCCGGCTCCGATCATGGTGATTGTGAGGGGTTCTTGACCTTTCCCCGATGGAGAGCCAAAAGGTAATCTAGTGGATTGCTCGTGGCTTATGGATCCTCATCTTATGTTGGTTGTGCAGCACCCGATTGCGGGTTAGGCGTGTGATGCCTATAAATGCGTGAACCTCCAAGTGAGTGAATCGCCACAACGGGGACTAGCTTGCCGGCGAGCAAGTGAACCTCGGTAAAAAATCATTGTGTCATCTTGTCTCCGAGGATTTTATTAGTATTCATTGTGATTGATTGATCATCCCTTACTACGGCGGTATAAATATCACTACCTCTCTTGTATTTACATTCCTAATGTAGGTAAGCTCTTTAGTATAATTAGTTTTAAGAGCTAACTTGTGTCTTGTCTAGTGGTTAGTGAGGCTCTTTAGTTAGTCTTTGAGAGCTCACTAAGTAGTAGTGACCTAGCTTTGTGTGCTTAGAGACTATAGTAACTATAATTATGGTAGGTGGCTTGCATTTTTAGTAGCCTAACGCAAGAATTGCTTCGCCTTATATTTGTCTAACCACTTTGCTTAGTGTTGTTGTAGAAAGTTTTATAGGTTATTCACCACCCCTTTAGCTATTAGGACCTTTCACCATTCCACGTGCGACATTCCATAGACTAGCGACGAGTTAACTAGTGAAGTCGTTTCACAAAAGACCTCAAACAAGCTGATTCTTTTGGTGGCGAACCAACCCATATGCGATGTATTTGATCTCCAAACCAAATACATTGTAACTGTGATCACACCCTGACGGAGCCACTCGTTGTCATCTAATATTTTTCATTATCCACCTTTAGTTGTCATCTAATTTTTTTATAAACCTTTTAGTTAAAATTCTCAATCTAATTACCGCGCCTAAATATATGCATAAAACCCCTACAACTTGTCCTTTCAACACAAATCCTGCATATGTTATCCATTGCATATGCAACAAATAAATATACCCTCCATGCCAAATTATAAGACGTTTTTACTTTTTTAGATATATAGCTTTTGTTACGCACTTAGATATATAGTATGTCTAGATATATAGCAAAAATAATGCATCTAGAAAAACCAAAACGTAAACGTCTTATAGTTTAGAACAGAGGGGTATCACGTTGCATTCTCTAGAACAAAATTTTACACTGTTGGAACATTTTTTTCCTTTGGACTGTTTTCTTTTTAATGCCAAAGCCGAAACAATAATAAGTGAAAAATGTTTCAATAGAACATAAATATTCTAGTGTGAGAAAAAGTGTTTCACGTATAGAAATACTTGTACACGTATAGATATACTTGTAGGCAACATAATGCTTATTTTCTAGTATGTAACAATCACCCTGAAATCCTATCCATCTTTAATTTCCGTGTGTTCGGTCCCCTATGCTCCATTGCTCTATTTTTGGGAGGTGTATTTTTGGGAGGTGGGTCAAGGTTCCCAGTAAGGCTCAAGATTGTTTAATTCCTAGTTATAATTTGCTATAACTAAATTTAAATCAGTGTGGCTGTGGTAGAAATTTTAAACTTATGCTTTGATATATCTAAGTAAAATCTTGCTGCACATTTTACTCAATAGCATGTGGATTTCAAGAAAATATTACCTAAATTTAATTGCCAACTAAACACTCAACAGCTCGATAAACTTGTATAGCGTGGCTGACTGGTAACCAAACGGAAACCTGGTTTTCCGGTGATCCAGAGCCGAAAAAGGACCGCCACCAACCGCTCGCTTTCCCGCACCTCCCCTCCCCACCTCTCGCTCCCCCTCCCCCTCCAATTGCAGGATCGGCACCGATGCGATTCGACCGCGGCCTCCCATCCGGTGCGGAGGTCTGCAATTGGGGGGAGGCTCCTCTCCGCCGCTGGAACCGCTGCGGCGTCGCGGCCTGTGCGAGTTTCCTGCCGGTTCCTCGTCCCTCGGGTACGCGATTCACGCCCTGGACGTTCTCTTCTTGTTGCCATCCACATTTGAGTGCGATCCTGGCCCCCGCTGAGCAATGTTGCTCTTTTGACGAAACTGGAGGGGCCGGAGCCCCTACAGGAGGAATTTATATTAAATAAAGAAAGCGTTACAGGGAATGTTGCTCTGCTTGTGCTGAGGTAGCTGATTCAGGTTTCATTTTCTCTGTGGTCTCTGTGGTTTTCAGGGAGAGATTTTGCGTTCCTTGGCATTACTGTTTGGTGGCAGACAGTAGTGCTGCTTCTCTGAGGAGGCATTGGTGCGATAGGCAGTTGAACTGAACCGGTAAATCAAAGGTCTCTGGCCTTCAAGGGAAATTGGGAAATTCAGGTTGAACGTGGTTACATCATTCTTCCTTTCATTGGTGTTTTTCAGCAGCAGAAATCCATTCGCAGGAGAGAGAGAGAGAAATCAAAGAGGAGAGTGATCATGGAGCATGTGATTGGAGGGAAGTATAAGCTTGGGAGGAAGATTGGGAGTGGATCCTTCGGGGAGTTATATCTCGGTACATTCCATATATTTTATGCATATTATATGGTTGTGTTTCGTTAACCCCAGAAATAAATTTTTATTCTCTCTAGTGTGGCTTTTCTTGATCCAGGTGTTAATATACAGAATGGAGAGGAAGTGGGAATAAAATTGGTATGTGCAAATAAACCTGGCTGCGACGTATATACTGTTTGCGTTTAATGTATTATAACGTTTCTCTTCTCTAGAATCTGGATATACCCTTTTAAACTTAGAGGTGAAGTGTTTGGTTCAAGGTCTCACCTTTTCTTTGGTTTGATCTGTCAGGAGCCTGTGAAAACAAAACATCCACAGCTGCACTATGAATCTAAAGTTTATATGCTACTGCAGGGTGGAAGTAAGTGGATTGTAATTTATATGTTTATTTACAGTAATCCGTGCCCACACCTTCTGGTTGCTTATTTAGTCACTCATTTTTGAAACATAGATGGTATCCCACACCTCAAGTGGTATGGTGTCGAGGGGGAGTACAATGTTATGGTGATCGATCTTCTTGGCCCAAGCTTGGAAGATTTGTTTAATTGCTGCAATAGGAAATTTTCTATGAAAACAGTGCTTATGCTTGCTGATCAACTGGTGAGTTCATCCATTCCATATTCAACCTGATGCTGGCCCGCAACAGTTAGGAAGCAAGTCAACTTTCTGGAATTTGATATCAGCTATTTGTTAGGAGTTATATGTTCAAGTTTTTTTTTTGAGGTCAACTTCGGGGGTTTGTCAAAACGAATCCCCACCTGCATTTTCATTCCACAGATGCCGGAAGTCCGGTTGGTGGAAGGCGAAGCCTTGCCAAGTTACATCAAAGATCAGAGGTTTATGTAGGGGCGTTTAGATTACATAGATAGCGCTTGTCTCCAATTGTTTGCTAGGTTCTCCTCCTTCCTAAGTGCTAGAAGTTTCATGAGCATTCTACCATAAGTGTTGCCTTATTTTGTGGGTTTTAATTCCATAGTGTTAGATCATTGATGGTAGAAATCAAATGAGTTTCATGAACACCATGTGCTATTCTGAGTGTATCTCAGCCAAGCTTTGCAAGACTGTAACTATTTTAAGTTTGTTCCTTTTTTTTCTCAGTGGACGAGGGAGAGAGAGAGAGAGAGTTTATTATTGTCCTACTAGTTTTCTTTGAAGACTTTTTTTTTGCTTGGACTTACATTATTGAATATTGACTTTCATTTTTAGATAAACCGAGTGGAATACATGCATTCCAAGGGATTTATTCATCGTGACATCAAGCCAGACAACTTCCTTATGGGCTTAGGTCGGAAAGCTAATCAGGTTTGACTTAACCCCCCAATGTCATCTGCTTTTGTTGTTTTCGGTATAAACTGAACATAGTAGTTACTTCTCTAGTATTAATAATATCTGGTAATAATCCCCAAGATTCTTACTCATCAATGAACAATATGTAAAGACATATATCCTTTTTCTTCTGCAGGTCTATATCATTGATTATGGGCTTGCTAAGAAATACAAGGACCTTCAGACTCATAAACACATCCCATACAGGTGAAGCATATGAATGAAGTTTTCACTTAGAACTGAGCCTGGATTTTGTTGTGCCAAACAATTATTCCATTAAATTGCAAGTTCATAAGCAGAAACTGGGATGTGAGAATTCGCACAGCCTCTATACTGCACCTGTGTCACAATTTCCTACATTGTCTCGAGAGACACTGGCTAATGGTACACTGTTGGGCAATCCACTGAGTTCTGTTGATTTGATATAGTATCAGATCATGGTACAGGGAGGCAACCTGAGTGGATTGTTTGATCTTGCGTTATTTACATGTAAATTTCTGAAATAAAATGTGCCTGTCCAATTGCGTCATGACGTTGTGTGTTAGCATATATCTTCTTGATGATTCAAGTTTTGACACCAAGGTTAAAAGTATTCTAGTGTCAGATTACATGCAAATATGTACTGCCTTTTCTGCGACATTTGCAGATTGGGGTGCTAGGCTCGAATTTAATCGATAGATTAGACATAAAGTGAACCTTTTCATTTTTCTGACTAGTTTTTTAGGGTAAATGATTAATTATTTTTTTCTGCACAGGGAGAACAAAAATCTGACTGGAACAGCACGTTATGCTAGTGTGAATACTCATCTTGGAATAGGTGAGCACAATGAGCAAATCAAATATGTTAACATGTGTCTCCAATTGTAATAAAATCATACACATTTTGATTCTTGGATGCTTGCTCATGAAATGAACCTAACCTGACAAAGGAACGGCTACTTGATCTAAAGCTTTTAAAAGGAGGGGGAAAACAGTGTAGTTGTTTTTCATGTACCTGTATTTATTTCATCCAGAACAAAGCAGGAGAGATGACCTGGAGTCTGTTGGCTATCTTCTGCTGTATTTTTTGAGAGGAAGGTTTGTCCAGAATCAGTCTATTTTACTATATTCCCTATTTTATCAATATTATACTTGACATGCTTTTTCGTTATGCTTAGCCTCCCATGGCAGGGTCTTAAAGCTGGCACTAAGAAACAAAAGTATGACAAAATTAGTGAAAAGAAAATGCTTACCTCAGCAGAGGTACTGACTGCCAACATGAACTTTGTAATCCTGTCATGGTAGTTCTTGCAGGCACTGTTTGAACTAATATCATTTCAACCAGGTTCTGTGCAAATTTTACCCATCGGAGTTCATCTCGTATTTCCACTATTGTCGCTCCCTGCGATTTGAAGACAGGCCAGATTACTCTTTTCTGAAGAAACTATTTCGTGATGTATTTATCCGAGAAGGTACACACCTCCTTTCTTCTCAGTGGCTAATTTGACCATTGTTCTTGCCCATTCTATGATCTGGTGTTAGGAAACTTGGTCTGATTATAGATTAACACTGTAGGATACCAATTCGATTATGTATTTGACTGGACTGCGCTGAAGTACCCTCAAATGGGTTCCAACAACAAGCTTGTTCAAGTATGTCTCTTTAATCTTATATCTATGTCTTGTTTGGTCTACATTCTTGGTGAACTACTCTTGTCTTTTCATTTCACAAAAAAGAAAATGCCATTATGTTTTTCATCCAGCAACCAAGTGCAAGAATGGCTGGAGTTGGACCATCAGTTGAGAGAACAGACAAAGCTTCCGGTATGTCTCCTGGTAGTTAATTACATTTGGACCATTGCTGTATGAAAAAAACTGATCACTTTAGCTAATTAGTTTCTTTTTTGCCAGTGGGACAAGAGATCCGGGATAGATTCACTGGTGCTGTTGAGGCATTCGCCAGAAGAAATCCAGGCTCTGGTCGCCATGGAGATCATTCCAGGCACAAAAGCCTTGCAGATTCCTTTGGAACATCCAACGAAGCAGTAAGTATCCGATTTAGCTCTTCTAAAAAAAAAAGTATCCCGTTTTTTTTTTTTTGAATCTAAAAAGTATCCCGTTTAGCTGTGGTAGCTAGTAAACATGAATGGAGATATACACTTTTTAAGCGAAAATATGTACCAAGTGTCAAATCCAGTATTGAAAAAATGAGTCTAGTAAATGGAAAAGAAAAGGCTTTTCCTCTTTTCCATGTTCGTAGTATTTTGCTGAAAATCTTTCTGCTAACTCTCAGTTCTTAGGAAGTGTATGATAATCTGTTCACAGAAACTTGGCACAATGTTGTATACTGTATTGGTTCTACAAATGAGCCCACTACTGCTCATTCTCATCTCATTTGATTATCACATACACCTGAGGATACTAATCAGCTGAGAACGCTCTGCATAGATGGACACTACCTTTTTGTTGTTTGCAAAACATAAAAAAAAAATAGAGCTGGTATATATGTTTCTCATTGTAACGCACCAATTTTTTTTATGGAAACAGAATACTACTAACTAAACTATCTGGCATGCACCAGGTTGCCGACTCAGAGAAAACGCGCATCTTGTCCCGGGGAGGAGCTTCGTCCAGCCGGCCGACCTCTTCGGGGGACTGCAGTGACCAGAACCGCCGGTGGGTCTCTGGCAGCAGTGGCGGCAGTGGGCGCCCGTCCACCGCGCAGAGGCTCCACCACTCGGGAGGCGCCGAGAACAGCAGGTCGTCCCCGCGCTCCCCCGTGGCCCGGAACGCGGCCGGGAGAGGAGGCTCTGGCTCGCGGGACAACACGACGTTCCGGAGCCTCGAGCGCCTCTCCATCACCACCAGCAGGAGGAAGTGAGCTGCCGAGGACCACGCCGACGAATTCTGAGAGTGGAAGGCGGTTGCTAGGCCGAGAACTTTTGCGGGATCGTTGCTCTCTGTAGCTGAAGCAAATCGGCAAATGGATGGATGGATGGGATTGCAGCACAATGACCTCGAGTATGACCTCGTTACAAGGCTGCCATGAAAATGCTTTCTCTAGACCCCAACGTATAACGCTCTCTCCAAACCTCGAGAGGAGGAAAGACTACTCCGAAGTACAATGCAATCCTGTTTCACGGCAAGCTTTCACTGTTGTTCACTTCTGATTCTGCCGTTCCGGTACTAGTTTCTAAAGTGTTATTGCAGAATCCCTCCATTTGACCATAAATTTTAAAAAACGTATATAAGCATCTGAGTTGATTTGATTTATGGGGCATTTGGCTCGAAGAATGGAGTGATCTGTCACTCTCTCACAACATATTCTTGCTGGGTTTGAAGGGTTATTTGAAGGGTTACAATTTTCAAAGTTTCGAGGACTACTGTTACTATTCACATATTCTGAATCTTATTATTACAATTATTTGATTCTTTGAAATACGCAAGTGTATGCTGGGAAGGACTTATGCCAACCTGCAGGCGTATCCGAAGTATTTGTGTATGGTCGATTTTGCCCTCACTTTCACCCCCACGGTCTTCTTCCTCCTCCCCGGCGACACACCGCCCTCCTCCATGGCCGCAGCCCTCTATGTGCTCCCCAACCCCGACCACCCTCCATGGCCTCCTCGGCGACACACTGCCCTCCATGGCGGCCACCCTCTACACGCTCCCCCGCTTACTGGCCTTGCTACCCGTCAAATCTGGCTGCGCCACTCGCCGACCCCTGTGCCGGCGCTGCTGCTCACGAAGATAGAGGTCGAGACGGGTAGGTGTGTGCGGTCATCGCCGGAGCTGGTGATCCGACTCGCGCTCGTGCTTGCCATGGTATCCAGCGGCGACACGCATGCGGGAGCACGGCAGGAGGCCAGAGGTGGCGCACGCTTCCGCCGAGCTGACGATGAGCAGCGGCTCGCCCAGCGCATGGGGGCTGTGCCGACCACCGGTAGTGCATGCACGCAGCAGCGGCACCAAGGCAGGGCCAACGGCGGCACAGGCAGTCGTGGAGAAGATGGGGAAGGAGATGACTAGTGGGGTCCACATTTCAGTGACGGAGAGAAAGGTGGAGGGGCAGTTTTGTCCATATGAAAATACGATGACACCATGTACACCTGCAGTGGGCCTAAGACCTTCCAAGCGTACACCATGGCGTATTTTAAAGAAACAAAGAATTGTAATGGTAAAATTAAGAATATATGAATAGTAATTGTAGTTCTTAAAACTTTGAAAATTATATCGGTACCAATCCGCGTAACCCTTTGAAGAATGGAATACTTCCTCCAAAAAAGAATGCAATTCTCGTTTTTTTTAAAGTCAAATAATTTTAGGTTTAACCAAATCCATACATAAAGCGCTAGCATTTATAACTATCATTAGACTAATCGTAGAATATATTTTTTAGTAAAACACAAAGGTTATTTTTTATAGATTTAGTCAAATTTATGAAAAATTGACTCGATTCAAATCTAGAATTGCATTCTTTTCTAGATGAAAAGAGTATGTTGATTAACAATGAGGAATAGTTCCATGACCAAAACTGGGTAAAGAGGAAATTAACACCCGATCAACTCTTGCGTTTGTTCAATTTTGACCCCCAACTGCATATGCTGAATGGAAGAGAGAGAGAGAGAGAGAGAGAGGAAATGCTAAGAAAATTTCACTAACATCAAAATTCGCTCAAGTCTTCGAGCTGAATGTGTCTTATTCACTCAATCACTTTAGGTAAGCTGAATGAAAAGATTAATTGGGCCAAAGAGGAAATGACAAGAAAAGATTCTTAGCATTTAAAAGAGCAAATGCTATCGTATTCACTGGTGCTGTCGTATTCATAGATCATCTTTTCCTTTTCGATTCTTATTTCTTATCATTTCTTGGAGTCTCAACTGCATATGCTGAATGGAAAAGATTAATTGGGCCAAAAATGGACTGGCTCCTTTTCTTTTTTCCATTCTAGATGAACAACCAATTAATCTTTCATGAGACTCACAGCAAATGACATAGCACGAAACTGCACTAACAGTGTCTCTACGATGCTGTATGCAGTATTCATCTGGCATGGAAGATACCAAACATAATTGGGTTTTGGTCGGCCCCTCAGTATGATGGACACTGGCCTCCCATGTCCATACGGCCATACCCAAAACATATGGCGATGTCCCAATGTTATCTCGAAATGCCCAGCAAGGCTGAAAGCAAGCAATTCAAGGACAGCCTGGGTTAATGGAGATGCATTGTTTACGTTAACATTAACACTAAAAAAAATTGGCGTGCAGCCATCGTTACTGTGAGTTCCCACAATGCTCAAAAACAAAACGCTGTCATGTAACGAACGACCAAAAACAAAAGGCTGTCAGGTAAAATAATCGAACTTTTTTACAAGACTATGGAATCCCTTGCTCTGAATCATGTCACTAATACGGCAGCACAGCCCCCATCTTATGCAAGATAGTCTGTCGGACTGCAGCAACATCAATTCGCCGAAAAACTTGGGGTTTGCATCATCTTCCATTTGATATATACAAATCACAGTGACTTTGTGTGTCTAATGAATATTTGGAATCTAGATACACGGCAGGCTCGCTATGTGCATAGGGAGGACTGCAAACAGATCTTATGGATTTTTTAGAGCAGCCAGTCTCTTCTCTAGTTCCTCCAACTCCGAACTGCAGATGAGAGAAGCAAAACATTTTTTATTTTAACCCAAAGGGACCACAATGTTCAGTAACATGGCAAAGGTGTGGTCTTTGCTACCAGCAATTCATGTTGTACGCAGTGAAGTAAATAGTGCACTTGCTGGCACTAGACGGCATGAGGAATCGTTGGTATACAGCTTGTATGCTTAGTCTAGTCTTATTATTAGTTAGAAGTACAAAGAATCATAAAATATAGAAAAACAAAGGTAAGGTAATCAGATGCATAAAAAACGGCATAGAAATGTTTGCGCAGTCATTTTTGTGCGTGAAAGTTGCCTAGATGTCTCAGCATGTCACCAATAATGCTCAAAAGTCAATACAAGTAAAGAATGTGAAATCCTACATCAGACCTGTGCTTGCTATTTCCAAGAAATGCAGACAATAGCCATGTTTCTTCCAAACCATTAGAAACTGTCTGAGATGAAAGCTAAGCAATCAAAGCAATAGTCATGTGACTAATTAATCTAAATTTCGGCATCCAACGGTTTTGCCCAACCCACTGTTGAACACCCCTAAATACAGGGGATAGAGCCTTAGAAATATCTTAATTATTTCAGTGAACGCAAAAATAAGTCAGAGAGCTAAATTTTTATCCTGGCCTTTGGTAGTGATTTCAGGTGGAAAAAATAATACAGTAACCATATGAAGAGGGGAGGGAAGTTGAAAAACAATAAACAATGTAAAGTTGTGGGTGAAGGATAGAGCAAACCTTTCATCAACCTGAACCTTCTTTCCAGCAATTTTTCCTTTGGGAGCCGAGGACAACTACGAGGGGAAAGATAGAAAAGGTTTATATTAAAGGAATAAAATATGGAATACAAGAATCAGCATCTTCAACTACCTGTGAGGCAATGTCTACACCAATCTCATCCAGAACCTAAAAGGCAATGGCAAGAAACAGAATGAATAATCAAAAGCAAAGTACAGGGCTTATTGAAGAACAATGGAAAAAAAACAGCGAATAACCTGGTTAGCAAGTTCTTCAGTTTCTTCCTCGGCCTGATCATCGTCTAAGACATCGTCAATTGAATCAGACATCATCTCATTCTGCACGATGCATAAGATTAATCAGTGTGTACCCTCACATGCATCATTTAATATTAATGCGCAAGCACACATCACATTCATAAGAACTTCCCTAGAATAACAAAAGGTAAAACGTGTATAATTGCCAGAAATCATTCTGCTAAGCTTTGGAGAAGTTTGCATACCATCATATCCATTTGTGCTGACTGCTTTTGGAATTCTTTCATTATTTTCATCTGCTTGGTAGGTTCCATTTGCTGCAAAATAGATAAGTACACATTCAGTAAAACATATGTATTTGATTCTTAAAAAAGTGTATTCGGTGTAATAGAAGTTACAAGTAAAATACACCCTGTTAGTTCCTGTATAAAATCCATACATGATTTTTCAAAAAACATATATATGAAATGATGCATGCGCAAAAGTTCAGTAGAATATTACCTTATTCAAAGCTCCCATTGCTTTGCTTGCACTTTGTAAACCAGTAGCCACTGAAGTGTTGGCATGCATTGCCTAAGGACACGAATTACCACAAAATAAAAATAAAAAAAAACTAACCTGACAATCCACGTGGAATAAAGCAAAAGAAGGAACAACATTTCACCTGAGTATGTGTCGCAATCCCCCGAATCTGAGCTCGGCTACCTTGCAAATTAGAAATCTGCTGCCTTAACCTGATCAACTGACGGGCTAGAATTTTTGTTGCTGCCTGCAGAAGCAAAGGAAAACCATACTCTATGATCTAAATAAAAAAAAGGAGCTGAAACCGAATATAATATAAGAGTAGAAACCTCATTGCCAGTTTTTGCTGTCCTTTTAATTTCAGCAACGAGTTTCTTCTCCTGTAGTTGAAAAAAAAGAGTTTGAAAACCTGTTATTATTGCTCAATTCAACTGCATCAACAACAAAATTGAATAGTGGAACCACATAATGGAAAGGCGGTGACTTTAAAATTATCACATATTTATAGATCCGATACAATGCAGACATAATTTAAGCAACAGAACATACAGAGCTTCCTAAGCATCAGTTGAATATGAAGTATGATCATACAAGGAAAATTCTAAATCGCCAATATATATAAGGATATTTTGTTTATGAACCACACTAATGTGACTGAATTATCATACCTCTTGCTGTAGTGACGCAACGTCCCTCTCGATCC